TAAATGTACAAAGACGTTTAGAATTACCCTTGAAGCAGTGTGTAGGCTAACTGGAGGTGACAGACACAGAAGATGTCAGTTCTCTATGTATCACAGGCTGTGAAGACTACATAAAGGAATAGACACAAAACACAGCGTCAAACCTGACTAGCACACAGTAACGCAGATAATCATCATTAACCACACACTTCAAGCTTCCTTACCTCTACACCTTCCTTCATGTCATCACCCTGCTCTGCCTAAGCATCCTCTGCTCTTACAATGGAGCTGGGGTCACTAAAATTCTCCCCATGCTATTCAGCTAAGTTCAACCTTCTTCGGAAGTTTCCCTTGACACATTCAGGTTGGCTTTCCTGCCTGAGCCGTTTGGGAAGAGCCTGTCTGTCATCACCTCCCACTGTCTGGTTATCAGCTTTGTCAGTGAGCTCAGGAACAGTTCCGGGGGGCTAGTTAGGTTCAAAGATGACTGATGCATTAACCAGAAGGCTAATTACTAAGTGTATACATACCAAAAGAGCTAGCCTCGCTGGAATTTTACCAGACTCAGAAAGGTGCAACACTGTCCACACTCTACAGATTACACAGCATCCCAAGACCAGGATCTACTATAGCACTCTAGATAAAGCTCTGACCATCTCTCTTTGGCAAGAAATGACCAGAAGTAACTATGAAGGGTATAAGGAAGGTGGCCTCTCTCTCTGATACTACAAAGATTATGCAGCACTCCTGGTCAGGACTCCAGAGAACCCACACACCACCTAAGTAAGCTAGCACCTACCTTCCACAGACACCATCTCAAACCTCTCCTAGAAACACAGTCTTTCTTGGGAGATACAAAATTAAGTTTAAGCTTTCTGGCCACAAACACATTCCAAACATGCCTTCCTCGGGGTTATAGCTCGGTCAGTTTGGGTTGAATTTAAAGTTTTCCCTGAAATTCGTCAAACTCTATTTACAAAATGTCTCTTGGCCTATGCTTGTATCTTTTCTATAGATTTGTATATTTATTTCTCTAATGGTCATCTGTTCAACAAATTCTTAATTGTTTCCAGAACAGTGTGTTCTAGACTCTGGTGATAAATGCAGTGAACAAGCAGGCAGATTCCTGGGGCTGGAGAGATGCCTCAGAGGTTAAGAGCACTGGCTGCTCTTGCAGAGGTCCTGAGTTCAATTCCCAGCAACCGCACGGCAGCTCACACTTGTCTGTAACTTCATCTTCAGGGTTTGACACCCTCACACAGACGTACATGCAGGTAGAACACCAATGGACATAAAATAAAAATAAATTATAAGAAAAACCGGGCAAGACCCCTGAAACCTGGCACACCTTCGGCATCTCCCTTCTAGGTACTTTAGACACTTCAGAACAAGACTTTAGGCTCTTCTGTCATCTCCAGGCTGTGTCTCTTAGCTCTATATTCTGGTTTCCCAATAAAATAATGACCCATACTGTAGGTGACTGTGAACTAGCTAAATTCACTGAGTTACTTTCTTCCCAACCAGAGTAGGACTAGAGCAGTCCTAAGAAAAAAGATGCAAAATCTGAATCAAGGTATAGGGGAGGCCAGGTGTGATGCAATGTGCCTTTAACCCCAGTACCCAGGAGGGGAAAGCAGGCAGAGCGCTGAGTTCAAGGCCAGCCTGATCTACACAGTGAGTTCCAGGACTACATTAAAAAAAACTGTCTCAAAACAAGATAAAAATAACAAAGGGGTAGGGAACAATGTAAATCACAAGAGTGACCTAAATCACTAAGGAAAACAAGATTGTGGGATGTTATCAAAGACAGGCCACCCTAGGAAGTGATGAGAGATTCCAAGTCTAGGGGCCATTTAGAAGGAAATGAAGAATGAACATACAGAAACCAGAACTGAAACCACGTATGCCTAGAGTCCCAGCACTTGGGAGGTTGATGCAGGAGGATCTCAAGTTGGAGGCCAGCTTGGGTACATAACAAGACTCTGTCTCAAAAAAAACAAAAACAAAACACACACACACACACACACACACACACACACACACACAGAGAGAGCAAGAACGAGAGAGCGAGAGAGAGAGAGAGAGAGAGCGAGAGCGAGAGCGAGAGCGAGAGAGAGAGAGAGAGAGAGAGAGAGAGAGAGAGAGAGAGAGAGAGAGCGAGAGAGAGAGAGAGAGAGAGAGAGAGAGAGAGAGAGAGAGAGAGAGCGAGCGCAAAGCCAAGTGGGGGTGGAAATGTCACTCCAAGGACCCAAGGGCAATGAAGTAAAGTGGTCCCTACTCCAAATCTATTCTGGATGTGAGGGGAGGAATTATGTATCAAGGGCAGGGAAGGAAACATGAGATTAGGCCTCAGAAAATGGCACCAGACAGGCAAGACAAAGTGGAGCAGTAAAGACAAGGTAAGAAAATGGACACCACTGCTCTAAAGGGGCCAGCCAAGAGCAAGGCTGGTTCCTAACAAGAATGGCTGCCCACCCCAAGTATTTACAGTCACAAGATCTGAGGAGGTAGCTCAGTGATACAGTGCACACCTAGCATGCTCAAACTTCTGAGATCAGGGGATGAAGAAATGGCTCAGAGGTTGAGAGCACTGGCTGCTCTTGCAAAGGGCCTGGGTTTAATTCTCATCACCCACATGGCAGCTCACAATTATCGGTGATTTCAGACCCAGAGGACTGGAAGCCCTCTTCTGGTTTCAGTGGACACTGTACACCCATGGTACAGCCATACATTTAGGCAAAACACCCATATACATAAAACAAAAATAAATAAAATCTCAAAGTCCTAAGCTGAATGCTAAAGCATGGCAGAGAGGAAATACAACTAAACAAAATGAAAAGGAAAAAGAAAAGAATAAGCAATGACCAACAAGGTCAACCAACTAGGGAACCCTCACATGGACAGTATCAGAGAAAACATTTAGAGCTTAACTCTTGACTCTTTTTGAATTAATACTGAGAGAACCCGGCAATGTGGTCTTCTCACTGCAAACAATGCAATTCCTTGTTCTAACCAACATTCTTTGTCCATCTAGGAAGGTCATTATTTTCCACTGAGGACAAAGTCTCACAGGAGAAGGGGCAGAGTGGACACACAGCCCATGGGATATTCTAGCCTACTAGCTCAATAGTGACTTCCCAAGAGTGTAGAAGATGTAAGTGAGACACAGCTCCTGGTGTAGTAGGCTTCAAGTTCAAGACAGAACAAGTACTTAGGATCTTGTTTTTGTTTTTTTAAAGGATGCTTAAAGCATGCTGTCTTCCAAAAATCCAGAGATAATTTTAGATTGAAAAAAATCTAGGCTTGCCAAGGGAATCTGAGAACTTTTCTATCTTGGTCTCCAATGCTAACCTACGTATTCGTGTGCAAAAATAGAGGAAGATTAGAATCTCAAATGCCAGGCTGAAAAGTCGCCACAACAAACTTGCACTCTTCATATGGAGTCTGTTCATATGTTAGCAAGAAAGCAAGTGAAAACAGCAGTGAAATCTTTTAATATATATTTCACATGCATACATATCATATTTATGTCAAATGTAAAGTAGTCCCTCAACTTGTAAAGGAAACGATTTTTTTAAAGATTGCAAAAAGGAAAAAAAAAAGTATTATTTTTAAGGCACATAAAAACATCCAAACACACACCAAATCAAATTTGTAAGTAGCCCTTTGCAAACACATTCTTAGAACTTTAAGCCTAAAATAAGATTTGTTGAGGAAGTAATAGTTTACTAATGGTTACTACCCTGCCAGTTTGGAAACACATCTTAAAAATAAAAACAAAAAGGCAGGGCCTCTTGGCCTATGGCTTTAATTCCAGCACTAGGGAAGCAGAAATAGAGAGATCTCTGTGAGTTTAAGACCAGCCTGGTCTACACAGTGAGATCCCGTCTCAAACAAATAGATGAGAAAATAAACAACAAAGGAAGGTTAAAATTTTTTAAGCAGTTATGAGAAGCAAACATAGATGGACAACACAGGGTTTGAGATTTCCAAACATATCAACAAGGAGAAAAACAGAATGTTACCTTTAACCCCCGTTTGTAAATTTATCCCAAGAAGACAATAATCAGATAAATCCTTTTTGGCAGAAGTATTTATCTTGTGACAATGAGGAAAACAATCAAATATTCATCAGGGCTTGGATAAATTATGGTACCCGATGGTCTACAACAAAGCCTCTAAAAGTGACACGTATGTATGCATTTACTGATGTCACCCAAACGTTAGCAGTGGTTGTCACCGAGTCACAGGTTGTGAGGCTGTGGTCATTTTCTCCCGACACTCTGCGTACCGTCGAGAATGTTTTTACAAGGACAGAAGAATGAATCGCTTTCATAATGGCAGTGGGTGAGGAAGGACACGGACGAGCTATTTTCAAATTGTGGGCTCCCCAGGCTGAGCGTTTCCCAGGCAAATTGGGTTAAAGTATAAACAAAATTCTTATCATGCCAAGCAGGCATGCTCTCTTTCCCCTGCTCCACGCGGGGCAGGAAGACACACCCCTGACCCCAGCGCTCGCCCCACGGGCGTGGGTCCTTCCTAGCCCTAGCCCAGCCTTGGCCCTCCCCTGACCCCCGCCGCACCCACGGGCTCAGCCGGGAGCCAGGAAGGGGCGCGAGGACGGCCGGGCAGCCGCGGGGCGGCCTGAGGACAGCGGCGCACGCCCGTCCCCGTGGACCTAGGTCGCCCACAGGCCGCCAGCCCTCCGCGCACGGCGCAGCGAGCTTCCGGGAGCGGATTCCCCGAGGCGGCCCAAGGCAGCGGCGTCCTTCAGCGCCGACGCGCCCCCAGGGGTCTCAGTCCCGGGCGCGCGCGGAGAGGCCCCTCCGGGCTTCCGTCCGCCCGGCCAGCGCCCGCCGAGCCCCGCGTCCTCCACAGCAGGCGGGCGAGGGACGGCGCCCGCGGAAAGCGGAGCTCCGCGAGCTCGCCTCGATGCCAGCCGCCGTTGCGACCCGCCGCCCGCCGCCCGCCGCCCACAGCCAGCCCCCGCCGCCCCGCGCCCACCGGTGCCCGCACCTCACCTGCGACGCGCCCCGGCTCCCAGCGTACCGCCCGGACCGGCTGTGTACACCGGAAGTGACGTCCGCGGCCGGCCCCGCCCCCGCCCCAGGCGGCCGCTGCGGTTCCCCGGCCAGAGCCCACCCTCCCCTCGTGCTCGCTGGGCAGCGGCACAGCTCAGCGTCTCCCCCGGGGCTTCCAGACCCAGCCCGCACCCTGCAGGAGGGCTCGGTTGCGTCCTCACGGATTTGTCGTTGAAATTAATGACTGAAACGTTGATCGCTAGACACAGTACCTGACGGGCTGTGTAGAAGCGGGAATCGTACCCTCGAGAGTACTAGTGTCACACATCCGTGTGATGATGATGTAGTGCCATTTGTGGCAGATGGTAGGAGGGGAAAGTGGAAGAGGGAAGGAGAGTACCCTGACCTAGTGGGTGACGAGGGAACTAACCCTAGGGAAAGATCAGGAGCTGAGATCCCAAAAAGGAAAAAAAAAAAAAAAGGAATTTTAAAACAAACACCTGGAGGAGGAGCAGGACATGACAGCATACAGGCGAAAGGGACCCAGGATGTAGCTCAGGGTAGAGTACTGCTCAGCTTGTGCGGGCACATGTAAAAGCCCCAGGCTTTGCAAAGAATGTTGAGAGATTAAGAAACAAGTGTTTTAGGCTGGGAGCGGTGATGTATTCTTTTAATCCCAGCATTCGGGAGACAGGAGCAGGCAGATCTCTATGAATTTGAACCCAGCCTGGTCTACATAGCAAATTCAGGGCCAGCCAGAGCTACATAGTAAGACACTGTCTCAAAAAAGAAAGATGTTTTCAAATGTTTCATCTTCAACAAACCAGAGAAGTTAGGGTTTATCTGAGAATGTTGCAAAACCCCAGTTTTAAGCAGGGAACCTTTTGACCACATTGGGGAGCTCTCAGGATTGCTCTGGCTGTAGTATAAAGGCCTGAGAAGGGAAGGCAAGAATGGATGTGTGGGAGCTGAGGTTCCGTTTAGCACAGAGGAGGCCTTGGGTTCATCCTCAGCATTGGGGAAATGAATGGATGTAGATTTTAATGCAGTCTTTGAAAGCAACAAGACCCTTCAGGACCGGGTTGTGCTTGGCCCAAGGACCTAGGATGCTAAACATTCAGTGATCACCAAAGATCCACATGGGACAGTAGCTACAAAGTTGGCCACTGTCTCCCACTAATAAAGATTCAAGACATAAACACTTGTAGGAGTAACTGAGGTGGAGGTAATCTTTATTAAAGAGAAATAAGGAAAAGCAAATAAGGAAGGGTGAGGGAAATTCCCAACATATAAACATTTAGCATGAAAGGAAAGTGAGGCCCAGTCTGGGAAAGTGCAACCCAGCTGGTCACAAATTTGTCACACAAATTGGTTCTGGGGCTTCTTGTGAGGCTATGGCTGAAGACTGGGGTAATGTTCTTGGCTGGCTAATCAGAAGATACCATATTCTGGGGCCCAGGCAATGGTTCAGTGATTAAGAGCACTGGTACTCTTGCAAAGGACCTTGATTTGCTTCCCAGAACCCACATGGTGGCTCACAACCATCTGTAACTCCAGTTTCAGGAGATCTGACTCCCTCTTCTGACCTCCTCAGGCACCAGGCACTCATATGGCGCATATACAAAGCACCCATACACATAAAAGAAAATATTTACTATTACTATTTAAAAAGTATGACCATATTCTATGTGTGCTATCACTGTCGAGCCATCAAGAGGCTCACACTTGGTTTGCATGTTATCCACCCAGTCAGAAGTGGTTGAAACCCCTATTTGCCATCAAGCACTACCAACTACACCAGGCTATTCCTTCTCATAGCTCCTTGTCTATGGAGAAACTGGGATCTCATTCCTGAAATAGGTGGAAGTTTTCTTGGAAACCAGCTGTTAACGGTTGGCTGCATTAGAAGCAGGACTATGTAAAAAAGCAATAGTGCTTAGCATATGTTTCCCCAGGGGTGAGTTCTCATAGAATCTAGCCTGCTCGGATAGCCTCGCTTCTCAGATCATGGCAGGCTGTCTCTTATCAGGTCTGCTTGGCTACCTCATACCCAGCCACAAGCTTCTGTTTCTCATCCCTAGTGTTCTTGGCCTTACTGTTTTAACCCTTAATGTGCCTTTTAACCCTGAAGTCCGTTCTCACTATAATACACATGAGCCTCTTGTAGTTTTCACCATGGGCCTTTTTCCCACACAAACTAAATCCTGTATCAATTCCGTAGTGTGTTCACGGTGGGATTACGTGTAATAGTCAAAGGGCAAAACAAACCGATGTCCATCCACGGACAAATGTATAAACAAAAGTGGTGGATACATAGACTATCATTCAACCTTAACAGGAGAGGAGATTGGGGCTGGGGGTTGGCTTGGTAGTAGAGCCCTTGCTTAGCACGTGCAAAGGCCTGGGTTAAATTCCTAGTGCCACGAGAAAGTGTGGAGATACAAGAAGGAGGGAAAGAAAAGAGACGGCGCTTGGAGCTGGGGGCGGCGTAGCACTCGGCTAGGCAGATCAGTTCATCCTTTACCACATGGCAAGGTGGCCAGGCTTGGCTGCGTGGAACCTTGTCTCATAAGTAAAAGGGTGATTAGCCGGGCAGTGGTGGTGCACACTTTAATCCCAGCAGTCGGGAGGCAGAGGCAGGTGGATCTGAGTTTCAGACCAGCCTGGTGTACAGAACAAGTTCCGGGACAGCCGGGGCTGGACAAAGAAACCCTAGCTCAAAAAAACAAAAAAGAAAGAAGGAAATTCTGGCCCACAATATGAATGGATGAACCTTGATTCTCTTTTTCAGTTTTTAATTTTATTTTATGTGTTTAAGTGTTTTGCCTGCATGTATGTACCACATGTGTGTTTGGTGCCTGCAGAGGCCAGAAAGGGCATCAGAACTTACTTACAGAGTTGTAAGCTGCCATGTAGGTTCTAGGAATCAAATCTGGGTCCTCAGGAAGAGCAGCCAGTGTTCTTAACTGCTGAGCCATCTCTCCAGCCCCCGAAAAAGGACTTTTTATAGATAGAAATCCAGGGCTAAGGGTGTAGCTTAGTGAAGTGTAGCTTACACACTTGTCTGGTGTGTATGAAGCCTCAGGCTCAAGCTCCTGTCCCTGAAGTAGGGGAAAGACAAAAGAAACAATATACACTGAAGTTCTCATACCTTCGCCTTATACCCCTATATATTGTCTTCTTGGGCTCTAAGGTATGTGACCCTCATAGACCAAGGTAGTGACAGTGGAGATGGAGAAAGTTGGCTACACTTGCAGAAGACTAGAAGAAAATTGATTTGGTTGGTGCTGGCTGCAGGAGGTCAGGAGGAGGACTGACTCCTGTCTCTGGGATGCCCATCGAGATGGTGGCTTAGTGGTGGGAGGGCCTGAACAGGACTCGTAGGGAGAGCATTGCAAATAAGAAAACCACGAACACAGAGAAACCCTGTCTCAGAAAAACCGAAAAGAAGACCATGAGCCGGGCGGTGGTGGTTACACGTTACACGTCTTTAATCCCAGCACTCAGGAGGTAGAGGCAGGCAGATCTCTGTGAGTTCGAGGCCAGCCTGGTCTACAGTGAGTTCCAGGACAGCCGGGGCCACACAGAGAAGCCCTGTCTTGGAAAACAGAAGGAGGAGGAGGTGGAGAAGGCAACGACGATGACTGTGACCTGGCTGTGCTCCTGCACACCTACAATCTCAACACTCGGGAGGCTGAACCAAGATGGTTGCCTCAAGGCCAGCCTGAGCTATATACCAAGTATCAATCCAGCCAGGGCTACATAGCAAAACCTGTCTCTAAAAAGCAAAGATAGAAGAAGGGAGTGGTGGGTGGTAGTGGCCACAAATTCCAACATGACCTTGATATCCAAGGGGAAGCCTGGAGGAGGTTCATTAATCAGGTTTTTTTAAAGACCAGAAGTGTCACATGATTATATTCTCAATTTTTCAGAGGTGGCGGCAGGATCATAAATTCAAGGTCACTGGGGCTGGAGAGGTGTTCAGTGGCTAAAAACACTGGCTGCTCTTCCAGAGGATGGGGGCTCAGTTCCCAGCTCTTACATCTGCCAACAACTGTGTATAATTACAATGTCAGGGGATCCATCCTCTTCTGCCTCCGAGGGCCCTGCACACGCATGGTATACAGACATACATATAGGCAAAACACCCATACACATGAATAAATTTTTTTTTAAAATTAAAGGCCATCTTAGACTATACAGCAATTTGAGGCTATCCTAGGTTTCATGAGACCCTTTGTCAAGAAACCAAAAATGAATAAATAATCATAAAGGTTAGAAGCAGGGTCTCTAAGACACTCTGTGGTGTCTCCGATGGTAAAGGTGCTTATGCAGGAAGGTAAACAGACAGGAGAAATGGAGCAGTGGCCTGGGATTCCACGGCAGGCTGATAGCCAGTGCTTCAGAATGGAGCCTGCCTTCCTCCTCAGCGGCGACCACAGCAGCTTTTCTGGTAAAGCAGAGGTGAAGCCAGGGCTCCTTGGGGGCTGGGATGAGCGACTGGGAGCGGGTGATTGTGTGACAGATAGGATGGGCTGTAGAGCCTGAGCTCCAAGAGCAAGTGGTGGGCAGCGAGCTTACAGGACGGCTGTGAGCTGTTACTGGATGTGATGTCCTCGTGGTAGTGTACCCTGGAAGTGCACTGAGGATGAGGGCAACAGGCTTTGTGGGTCACTTTGGTTCCTACAGACTGTCTCTGTCTGTCTGTCTTTCTCCGGTACTAGGGGCTTCTTCCACATGTTAAACAAGCCTGTACCACTGAGCTATTTCTCCAGCTCCTTTTTTTTTAACTTTGCATTTTGAGACAGTCTCACTAAGTTACCCAGGAAGGACTTGAGCTTATGATCCTCCTGCCTCAGCTTCCTGAGTAGTTGTGATTTAGGCCTGTGCCTCCAGGCCTGGGTAAAACCACCTCTTACTCACAGGCTCTCTTAGCTATTGCTGTCGGCCCCAAGGGTTATTAGACCTTGCCTCAGAATCCTCCAGTTACCACACTTGATACACAGTTAGAACTTTTACTCTTTTCCTACTACTGGAGGTTGAGCCCAGGACCTCATGCACGCCAGCCAAGCTCTCTGCTGCTGAGCTGTATGCACCCCCACCAGTCATGC